AGCTAAAAATGGAGGCTTCTCCACTTACTGTCCTATTTACCCCCCCTACGCCAGGTGAAAGCATGACCTAATTCGTCAAGTATCTCAACAGGAAATCAGTCTCACACTGTCCAGGGATTACGAGGGTGATTCATTTTAGGCCTAAATTTAGGCTGTGGGGAGGAACTGGCCAACTCACCCGCGTGTTGGAACACATTTAGCGGGAGGTGAGACGGTCTCTCATATGAACAAATACAGAATTTCACAAGGAGAGACATTGTGAAAGAAATTCTGTGATTCCCAATCCTAATTTAAGAGACAAAAATTCAAGAAGTTCTTCTAAATCAATTGAGAAAACCCTTCTTACAACATTTAGAAAAGAGATTCAGTTGTTTTTAAGTTCTCTTTCTAATACATGATTAGTTTCTTTCATTTTTAAGTTTTTATTTAGTTTATGTATCGAACCCATTGAACCGATCTAGAAAAGGCCCTCATGTGGATGAGGGGGGTTTTGGCTGAATGTGGAGTCCCAATCCACGCTGAATCTGACTGTTTGAAGCTCCTACTTGTTGACTCGTGCTAACTGCAGCTAAAAGCATCGGTTTGAACCAATCCGGTCGGGGGTTTAACCGATCCGGTTGGGGGTTTAACCGATCCGGTCGGGGGTTTAACCGTTCCCTCCCCTCTGCCGCAGGTTCTTCGGCCGCCACAATGCTCATCTTCATCCTCCCGGCCGCCTTCTACCTCCGCCTGGTGAAGTCGGTGTCGTCGCGCTCCCCGCAGAAAATTGGGGTAAGCGTGCATAAGATCCGGCCCAGTCGGCCGCTCCCCCCCCACAAACACACATACACACACACACACATACCCCCCACAGAGGCGGGACTGTGCAAAACAGATGGCCGCCCATCCTGAGCCATGGTTCTGCTCGAGGTTTCTGCCTGTTAAAAGGCGGTTTTTCCTTCCTTGTGTCACCTAGTGCTTGCTATTGGTGGGAATTGTTGGGCTTCTGTAATTAACTTCAGAGTAGTGTCTGACCTGCTCTTTATGAAAAGCTCTGTGAGATAACCGTTGTTGTGATTTGGCGCTATATAAATTAAATTGAAT